TCTGGTCGCACTGAGCCGAAAACAACGACGCTTCGAAAGAAAGCTCATTGTCGTCGTGTAATATGATAGCAGACTGAAAACACCAGCAAAGCGTATTAGCAGACTTGTCACCCGCAGATTGTCAGAAGATCGATTGCCGAGCAAAAACTTACCTTTGTCGTTCAATCTAAGAACTAAGAGAGAGATCTTAGGCAGAGGTAGAAGGCCTCGCACACTACTTAAAGGTGTTCTCCAACACTATTGAACAAGCTATGTTTTATTGGTGGTTTGCAGAGACCGATAGGTGGAAATAATTTCAGCATGGGTCAAAGTGCCAATAGCAGTTGATTTAGTATTTTAATTACGCAACAAACTACACATCGCTGCCGACCTTATCGCCACGTAGCGGCGCTCGTCTGAACTTTGCGGGTGGAAATGACACTAGAAAGTTGCCGTCATATGATTGTATAAATGTAATGCTAGAAGCGATCGTGGTGTAGGATCAAACTGAGGTTACTAATCTGTTTCATTTTCTTCTCTGTGCTTCTTCATCAAACCTGAACACACGCAACCACAACAAAAAAGATCACGGTGACTACAAAGCATGACAGAGATGCTGGCTGTCATTTCGGCACTGGATTTTTAGCTTGCGCGGGTCAGATGTCCATACGAAGCACCTCTTTTTCTTTCTTCCCTCTTCTTGCTTTCTTGAGTATACGAGCTATCTGTTTCTGCACATGCACTGTAGAAGAGGTGCAGTGCACCATTGTTTGTTGGGCAGCTCATCTAACAGCACGCGAAGGCTCTACAATACTTCATGTTCTGGTTCCACAAATGCCTTTCTCAGAATAAGAGAAAGTGACTTGGGATATTGTAAAAACAGCAGAAACGCCTCGCTTCGACAAAGTAGCTCTCACTCACGCTCTGGCAAGCCATGCGTCAAGCAAGACATCAATTGTGGTAGCAACAAGGTCAACATTACTTTGCAAAAGAAAAAACAGTGAGGTGCGAGGTTCCCCTGAGTAGGCGCTTCCAGCTTATTTAGTTGGGGTAGCCCTCCAACGACACGGGCAAGTGAAATGCTGTCAAGTGACCTGTGAAAATCGAGTTGAGGGTCCACACTCTGGTTTTTGTATTTTGAATTTTCTAAGTCAAACAATTGCTGCATTAGTCTGTACTTCAGTATACACAACACACATATAAAGAGTCGTCACAGGTGGCAGACCAGGCTGAAAGGTCTCTGGAGCCGGCGAGGAGCTTGGTCAAAGGAGCGATGATCGTCGCGAAATTGCGGACGAAGCGCCGGAAGTAAGAGCAAAGGCCTATGAAGCTTCGGAGCTCTTTCATGGTGGTCGGTTTGGGAAACGCTGAAACGGCTGTAAGTTTGGCAGGGTCAGGAAGAATGCCGTCTTTTGAAACCACGTGGCCAAGGATCGTAAGCTTTCGAGCGGCGAAATTGCACTTCTTCAGATTCAGTTGCAGCCCCGCGGCAGAAATACACGCGAGGACTTTCTCGAGGCGGGTTAAATGGGTTGCAAAATCAGTTGAAAAGACGACAATATCATCTAAATAACAAAGGCAAACGTTCCATTTGAGGCCTCGAAGGATAGAGTCCATCATCCGCTCGAAAGTAGCTGGCGCGTTGCAGAGGCCGAAGGGCATCACTGTGAATTCGTAAAGCCCGTCGGGTGTGATGAAAGCAGTTTTTTCACGATCGGCCTCTGCCATGGGTACCTGCCAGTATCCAGAGCGGAGATCTAAAGAAGAGAAAAATTCGGCTCCCTGTAGGCAGTCCAAGGCATCGTCAATGCGTGGCAGCGGATAGACATCCTTGCGCGTGATTCGGTTGAGACGCCGGTAGTCCACGCAAAACCTGATGGATCCGTCCTTCTTCTTCACCAACACAACTGGAGAGGCCCAGGGACTGCTTGACGGTTCGATTATGCCACGTGTCAGCATGTCGTCAACCTGTTCATTGATGGCACGGCGTTCGGTAGTTGACACACGATATGGACGCTGCCGTAATGGCGTCTCTTGACCGGTATCTATACGGTGTACAACAGATGACGCTCGACCTAAGGAAGGCTGATTGTGGTCAAACGAGGCTCGAAAACGCTGTAGGAGCTTGATCAGCTGTTTCTGCTGCCCAGGCGTGAGGTTACAATCGATGGACTTGCGGAATACATCCATAGGTTCATTAGCGTCAGTTGCGGGTGTAATGGCACAAGTCGGTAGAAATGGCTTGTCTGGATAGATCGGTCTTCGAAAATACAATTTAAGGTCTCGAGGCTTCCCAGACACTCACCGCGTAGCAGGATGTACGGGCAAGTGAAATGCGGTCAAGTGAACCTGTGAAAATCGAGTTGAGGGTCCACACTCTGGTTTTTGTATTTTGAATTTTTTAGGCCAAATAACTTGCTGCATTAGTGTGTACTTCAGTGCACACAACACACGTATAAAACATAAGGGGTTGAATAGTGTTGGAGGGCTCCTTCAATGGTCAGCCTGTGCACTCCACAAAAGTCATTCCTTCGCTTTGTCTTTGTCTGTCCCGACCCCCCGGCCCCTCACCCCAAAAGGGACAATGGCAACGCCCGGAGGATGGCTGAAAATGAGAAGCTGTCGCAAATGTTTTGTGCAAATTTAGTAGGTGTCACTGCGTGTGCCCCCCAGTGTGACTCCAATTGAGAATTGGCCAACTAAAGGCTGTGGGCATGACAAGGCGCAAACAGAACCTCCCTGAGACCATAGGCAAACTGTTTGTGTCGTTGCAGTGTACATCGGCCGATGACTAGCAAAAAACACTCCCAAAGACAATCAGCCGACCGAAATAAGTGTCGAGTTCCTCTATTGTAGACACGCCTTTACACATACAACTTAGACTATACGGTGTCCACACTTACACCTGAATTTCAAGTGACAATTTACTGCTCCAAGTATGAATGTTCTGAAAATGATAGCAGTGCAGAAAATAAATGTTCCATGTTTTGCTTGCCCATATATAAAGAAGGAAATCATTTTAGACAGCACAGCATAGATTTTTTTTGTCATTTGCAAAGCAAGGCAGCAAGGATCTTCAAGCATTATAATCGCAAATAGTGATACATGAAATGACATTTGCTTTGCCCCGCCGCGGTGTGGTCTAGTGGCTAAGGTACTCGGCTGCTGACCCGCAGGTCGCGGGTTCGATTCCCGGCTGCGGCGGCTGCATTTCCGATGGAGGCGGAAATGTTGTAGGCCCGTGTGCTCAGATTTGGGTGCACGTTAAAGAACCCCAGGCGGTCAAAATTTCCGGAGCCCTCCACTACGGCGTCTCTCATAATCAATGGTGGTTTTGGGACGTTAAACCCCACAAATCAATCAAATGACATTTGCTAAACGAGAATGCTGCATGAATGTTCAGCTTGCAGCCAACCAGTGTTTCAGACTTGACCGTTGAATAAGTACACACAGCCAAGCGAAAGTTTTTCTCTTGTTACCCACACTAGTGCACTCTACGAACCTTTTAATTTGTGTACAAAATTTTACTTGCGTATTGCTCACAGAGCAGATTGGTATAAGGAGTGCTTTGCAAAGACCGTACAACTGTTTGCAAAAGACTGCTAGCTACAAAATTTGTACAGGTATGGATGGCTGAAGACTTTCAAGCGTTTGTTTTATTACCGGAACATATAAAATATGGCAGAAAGGAGACGATAGAAGCTTTTAATGAAAAATTCTGTAATGAGGTTTCTGTCAAACCTAATATTTCACAAGTTCACTCCTCATCCTCAAGGATAGAACGTAACTTCGAGGAAGACAAGTTTATTGGTCGGCCAACACAATTCCTGTTAACAGATTTTTTACATAACTGCAACACATGTTTCTTGTGAAGCAAAACCTTGCACATCGTCTTCTAACTAGTGTCTTAATATCAGGCTTTAAGGTGCTCCAGAAGCTTTGTGCCAAGAATACGAGCATCTTTTTTGCGCATACTTTAATGATGCATTTACTAATGCAACCTTCACAGACTATGTTTTGGCAGTAATTGTCAGCATGGATTAAGCCACTGACACTATTTTGCTTAGCCTAATAAACATTACAAAGATTCCCCACTACAAAAGCTCTCAAGCTGTAAAACTTTAGCAAAGCTACGAAATTGTGGAGCTCACAGTGGTGTTACTGAGTATGGTGAAAAATCACAATGCTTTAAACAGGAAACAGTATATGAAAATAATCTGCTCATAGGAACATGTTTCCATGAAAATAGGGAACTGTCACATCTGGTAATTTTGCCTTTTTATAAGTCTGATATAAAACAATAATAATCTAATCATAATAATATTTTTTAAGGTTTTAGTCTCAAAACAGATATCAACATGCGATATACCATAGTGCATCGCTCAGGATAAATCGACCATCCAGCACTCATTTAGGATGCATCAACTGTACACGGTCTTCTACTATGTGGCTCTCAATGCAGTGTGACTACCAGGAATGGGAAAATGTGTAAAGTTCCCTCTCCCTTGGAGCAACATTGACGTACTGACAAGGGTAAAGAAACTTGTATAAAAAAAGCAATGATACATGGAACCCCTGTTCCTGTGCTACACGTTTTAGCAACCACACTCTCGTTTGAATTTATTGCATGTGCAGCACAACCATTCTTCTCCAAACCCTCACTAATATCTTATGGTACTATTACTCGCAGCATATGTTTTTACGAGTACAGGTATGTAGAAACTTCAAAACATTTACACAATGGAACTTGCAAACCATGTCCAGTGGTTTGAGCAAGCTCGGTGTTTTCTGAAAAAACCAAGCTGTGAAGTAGGAGCTGACGATGCTAACAGTGAACTTTTCATTATGAGGAATGAAATATCTACTTCTGCACATCTTTGAAGCTTGAGCAAGATCACTTTCTCGAACAGCACGGCAGTTGGCAATTGCTAGAGCAGCTGTTGTCTCAATATTTCTTCTACCCAAGCAGTTGTTCTGCAAAACATGTTAGTAAAGCTACTACAGCTACAGCAAACACTTACCATCAGTAAAGTTGAAGTCAATGCCATGTCGGACACACATGTTGTGCAGCATAGCGCACGCCACCCTTATTTTGGTGCACATCAGCGGACTGTACTGTAGAGCACCCCGGGACTGGTGCAGGCACCTGAAGCGTCTTTTGAGAACCCCGAAGGTCCTCTCAATGACTTGCCTCATCCGAGTGTGGGCCGAGTTGTACTGCTCATTGGCAGGGCCTACCGGAGACCTTACAGGGGTGAGCAGCCATGGCTCTAAGGCATACCCAGAGCCACCTTAACAGAGGAACAAGGGTGTACTCATGTCACAGGTGATAGGCCGAAATGAACAAAAACCTAAAGATATCACATATAGCCTGAAAACATCTACAGTGCGAAAATGCCAAAGGAAATAGTTCGCAGAATTATGGAACACAGGCTAAATGCACTATTACTTCATTTTAGTGGCATCAGGTTTAAATTGCAACTGTCTTCAAACCAGTGGCAAACAGCAAAATGTATGTATGTATGTGCACAACCCCCACAAACAACAAACACACCCATATATATATAATATATATATATATATATATTATATATATATAGGAGAATAAAAGGAGTTTGACTCACAAGTGAAAAGATTTTTTACTTGACGTTTCGACCGTGGGCCCGGCCTTCGTCAGAATGACGAAGGCCGGGCCCACGGTCGAAACGTCAAGTAAAAACCGTTTTCATTCTGACGAAGGCCGGGCCCACGGTCGAAACGTCAAGTAAAAAATCTTTTCACTTGTGAGTCAAACTCCTTTTATTCTCCTATTATTCCCGGATCCGGCGACAAACGCTCCTCCAATAATATTATATATATAGATATATATATAGTAGAGAGAGAGAGAAGAGAGAGAGAGAGAGAAAGGCTTGCAAGCAATGCGAAGGACAACAGGAACGTAAGTCCTCAACAACTGAAGCTGCCAATTCCTGTCATATTAAATTAAACTGGAGCAATCACTGCATATAAACATTTGTCCTTGTTTGGTATACTTGATAACGAGAGTACAATTAACACCCTTGTGTGAGAACACTGCAAACAGCTGCTATTAAAGCATATTAAAAATGTTCAGGAGGCGAGCACAGGAAATGCTTTCCTGTTTTTCGCAAGTATATCTTTCAGAAAAAATTACCTAGTAACCAACCGTCGGGCGATTGCCGTCTCTGGAAGCACCTTCGAAGGTCACAGTCTGCCCAGATGAAGCTGTCGTGGGTGCTGCCGGGCCATTTCGATGTCAGCTGGGTAATGGCACCCTCAGCATCACAGATCGTTTGTACATTGATTGTGTACAGTCCTTTTCGGTTCCTGTACAAGTGTTCCTGGTCTTTAGGAGGCTTGCTTTGCACATGAGTGCCATGAATGCATCCCAAGACCTTAAGAAACCCAGCTATCTCTGAAAAGGCTGAAAAGAACATGAATGAACAGCAATTGAAAGTGCTGCTAAGACATATTAGCCAGTAAGATAATTGACATCATTTCGTCAGGGCAACCCTAGGCATTTGAGCACCTTGAAACACTGTGAAATACCCCCCAAGCTCTGCATGTCGGTATATTTCGTAAAGAAGTGAGCTGAGACTTTTCACAAATGATTAAGTTCTCAAGATGCGCGAGCAAGGCAGAGTGTATGATAAAGAAATAAAATTGTGCTGCATAACCGTGCATTCTGGTGACATATTGGTGCTGCCACCGAAATAAGGTTGCGTGCAACTAGTGAACCTGAAATCAAAACAATTTGTAAAAACAACTAGATGAGTCCAGGAATGTTAACTACATACAATTACTTTCCCCAGACTGTGACACTTCTTAGTGAACAGAAAGGTTCCGATTAACTGGGAAAATCGTGCTTACGGCAAACAACAAAGAATTGCTCAAACAATGTAAGCTGTAGAAACTTCTCCCCTCGTGTAGCAGGATATTCTGCAAATTATCTACTGGTACCAAGATGCGTGGTAGCCTAGTAGTAGCTCTCAAGAGATTTGCGCTGGTTAACATTAAATCTGCCACACTAACAAACACTGTAGTCGTTATGACACGTCATGCAACAGCATTAGTGACAAAGTTCAACTCCACCGATGGCCGTAGCATTAGCAGCCCTCAGTGTCGCCGGGAAGCGTATGTGCTCCGCAGCCAGCGAGCACAGGACGTCACTTGTGCCATAGAAACTCCCACAATACTTACTAGAGGGAAACTCTGGCGCTAGATGGGAGCTGCAACGCACGGCTAGAGTGCCTAGAATATTCTAGGCACTCTAGCACGGCGCTTCAACGAGCATGGGAATGATGGGTAGTACACACATTTGTCTAATCTTCGTACTTCTGGCCTGCCTTTGGCTCCATGTGTGTTCGTGTGGCTTGGAGCTGTCTTCTTACGAAACAAGTATTAGCAAATATTCAGCGGTTGCACTTCACCATTTTATTTTTTAAGACTTGCTCACCAAATTGGATCACGAAGTTCAAAAGGGCTCAATCTTTCTTTAAAAACAAAACCGAAACACAGCAATAAATGGAGCCGCAAGTACGATTCGCCGCCCGCAAGTACGAAGACTAGGCAAATGTGTGTACTACCCATCATTCTCATGGTCGCTGAGTGATCGCAGCGCCAGAGTGCACTATAGTTAATTTCGGGAAACTCTATGGCTTGTGCCTTAATGCGCGACGCACTCGATTGGCTCACGCCGACGCTACCGTAGACTGCCGCTTGCGTAAAAGCGCAAAGCGAGCAGCACTTGCACATCCATCGGTAAGGCGCGAGACCGTGCCGTAGGCCGCTGCATTCGAGGCTCTAGTGTCGTACAAAGGGTCCGAATATGTTCCCTCGGGGACCTGTAGTAACGCAGGGGCTGGTGTGGAACATCGTCCGTGGCTAGGCGCCGGTGGAAGGTGCGCTCTCTCCGCAGGGAAGGTTGCCGATGACCAGCGATGGCTGCCAGGACGTACTCCATGGTTCGGATAGCATAGGTCAAGGGTAATAGCTGCCGATGCACCCATATTTATAGCAGAACGCATAGGTTTGTGACTTCCGGTTCTGTCCATCGCGATGCTGAGATTACCATAGCAACCAGAGAAGCAAAGAGTTGACACAAAAAGCTACGTCGAATCCTTGTAGTTCGCATAAAGCATCTTGGCAACTTTATAAACCTGCAATCGCTAGTCTGAAGACACGCAGGCGTAAACACCGTTGAGCTATTGACCTGCTGTCACACAGCCTCCGCACAGGCCTTGGATGTGTTAGTACAGAACCAGCGTTCCACTGAGCTTCGCTGCTCTATCGAAAAAAGCGCTTTCTTCGAGTACGAGTAAGAATAATAATAATAGGGGCGCAATGCTGAAGCCGGAATCAAAAAACACCGTCGCTTAGGAGTTACAGCCATTTTTCTTGATCAGTCAAGGAACTTGCCCAAGCGATTCTGATGCCAGATATCACACTGCACCTGAACAAAGTACTCCGGAAGGCGATAAGTACGTCCGCCCAGCGGTCTTCAAACACACCTTGAAGGCTCCGTAAAGAAGCCTTCTACGACGATGCACTGGCGCCTATTTCCTCTCAACAAACACGCCAAAGCAGGCGTTTCACGTTCCACCGCTCACCGAGAGACACTGCCGTCGGTTTTCACACAACTTGGACCCCCGAAGGCGCAACGGGATTCCCAACACAGAGATAAGCCACGGAGTCCACAATACAGCGACAATAGAAGCGCATTGCTGAAACCGGAATCCAATAAACAGCCTCGCTTACGAGTTACAGCAACTCTTCAGGATAACTCAAGTTACGTGACCAAAGGATTTCGATGCCAGATGAACAAATTACTCCGGAAGGCGATGCGAACGAGCTGTCAGCCGTATTCAAACACACTTTGAAGTATCTTTGAAGGCCCCGTAAAGAAGTCGGCTACGACGAAGCGCTGGCGCCGTCTTCCTCACCACAAACACGTCGAGGCACACATTTCACGTTTCACCGTTCACCGAAAGACACTGCCGTCGGTTTTCGCACGGCCTGCACAATCCGGAAGGGCGACGGAATCCACAGTACAGCGACTGGTGTCCGCGGGAATGACCCCCTGCAATTGTTTAGGTCGCCATGTTGTTCTTAGAAACTACGCAGCAGGGATAGGCGCTAAAATAACTTGGAAAAATCACTTGCGCGATTTTTCGACCAAGAAAAAATATGCTCTTATATGTAGGGGGAAGATACGTCGAACAGGACAGGAATGCCTGATGAAAGAAGCGTTTTGCAACGTCATAAAGTGAGAGCACCACTTGTCACCAATCACAAGCTGCGCCTCACAACTTAGCTGTCGTCTGCTTCCGTTTGTCGTCTACTTCGATGGGAGCACGCATGGGGGGTTCGGCTGTTTCACCGTCGTCACGAAATGATTTCCAGGACAAGTGGTCTCTGATTCGCACAAACAGGCGTCAGCGTCTGGCACCACATTTTACAGATATTCTTACGCCAAGTTAAATGATTTTTTATTGCCGAAGGGACGAGCCTCCGCCAAGGTTTGCTCGAGAATTAGTGAGGCTTTGCACATTTCCGGTGTCATTCGAAATTACTAAGGTGGTATATCCTGACTGCTTGCCATACTAACGCACCCAACTTCAGTTTTCAAAGAGTGAACGCGGAAAAGCTGCATTTGTTTGCAGTTTGATGCATCATCACGAACACCCCCAATACGCTTTCATTTGCGAAGTACGCACCCCTTCCAGATCGTCCAAAAGTGCATCGACAGCTGTATTTCACAGATCGTGTTCATTGGACAGTTATATCCAATCGAAGTATATGAAAGTGCAACCACAGAATAGTCTTTATGAATGGCTAACTTAAAAGTTTCTCTCACGCCGGTATCCAATAGCATCAAGGTGGTGTGCTCTTCTTAAACTCTTTGGTGGTAATCTCGACAGATCGGGCAGACATCACAAGTTGTACATTTTATTGGAAGATGTGGAACGCACCACAAACAACATAACAAAACATTTTAACCATATACTGCGCTGCTTTCGAGTTCACCAACCATTCACACTGCACTTTGGTTTTCATCCAACCACATGTCTTTGCATGTATCATTATACGCCCCTGACTCCCAATAGAATTCTTTGATTACCGCGGTGCCAACCTAATAGGATGATTTTGATTGCCAATACTGTCCATTGCATCCGAGGGAAACAACAAACGAACTCAAAGCACTGGAATAAACCAAAACGCACCAGCAATCATCAGGCAGCCTTACATGGCCATCAATGAACTCAGAATCAGCCAGGGCACCCATGTATCCCGCCACGGCTGCAATTTCTAAGCAGCCACATCGTACGTAAGAGTGGTGCGGATCACACTTAGGATATTTTCGTAGCCAGGCTGTTTTTACGCAAATTTTGCTTCTTGAATCCACTTATGAGGACTTTTCGATGACGTAAGCAAATATAGCAACTGCATCACCATCGCTGACATGTTCCCGGGCAGTCACAGCGCGCATCTGTTGTAGCGGCCGATGTGACAACGATGACCTCTTATGGCGTTTTTTCCGTTTCGTGAATCGAACTTACGCAACAAAATTTCTCTTGCGCGAACATTTTTTCGTAAGTGAGTTTGTGAATCCGGCCCTCTGTTCCGTCTACTGCAGATATCCCAAATTTTGCTGGTAACCGTGAGCCTTGGTCTGCTTTCATAATTTCCCTGACTACTCTACCGACTGACGACGTCATCGGGACAAGCCCTACAAAAGCCTGCTTGCCTGGCAGCTGGACACACACTTGGCAGCAGTGACGGCACATCGGCGCAACGCTAAAAACTGTTCCCTGTACTGCAGGTTGGTGTACAGTTCATAACTGAATTATTTACTGCGTCGCTGCTGACTTTCTGTGTTGCTGTGTACCTGCTGTTCACTTGTTGCACTTGTTTTTGCGTTGTACATTGTTTCAACTGTTCTATTCTTCATTTCGAAAGACATGACGAAGCCTACGAACGAAAGAGAAAGCCGATCCAAAATTCGAACTTCGTGCTGGAAATGAAGTCTTTAACAGTGTCAAGTTAATGAGCGATGAGTTCGAGACCTGCAAAAGCGCCTTAGGGAGGCCACAGAGGAAAGGGAAGCCTTGAGGAGAGCTAATGAAGAGCTGCGTGCTAAGTGCAAGAGAATGATAACATCATTCAGCAACTTCAGAAGAGAGTTGTTCAATCTGAGCAATTATCGCGCAGGTCAAACGTAGAAATTAAAGGGCTTATACAACAGGAAAACGAATGTGTTGCAGGACTCGTTGGAAAATTGGTGATGTACTTGGTGAGCACATAGCACCTTCTGATATTGGATTTTGTCACCGTGTGCCCACCTGAGAACCTGGAAAGTCTAACATAATTGTTCAGTTCCAGAGCGTACAGAAGAGGGACACTGTCCTTGAAAGGCGCGGAAGCCCAGGGTGCGAAATAACCAGGTTGGAATTCCTGATGATGCCAGATTATTTGTAATGAGCATCTACGCCCGCGTTGAAGCGTCTTCCTTCATTTGCATTGGCATGAAGGCGTGAATATCAATGGGCGCTTTGTCTGGACGCGAAACGGAAAGGTACTTGCGCGCAAAACTGAAGCTAGCAGTGTAATCCACATTGCTTCCGAGGCTGACCTTCAAAAGATCGCGTAGAATACGATATACGTAATCTTAAAGTCTTCATATTCCTTTTGACTGCACAATGTATCGAGAATTAAGCCTACCACCTGAAAATCCCTGCATTCACACGGGAGAAATATTTCTGCCTTTCAACTGAACTCGTGTTCACTCGCTCATAAGCAAGACATTCTAGCAATGTTTCTTGCCAAGATTACTTTTTCATTTGATGTTATTAGGTTCTCTCAAACATGGTATCAAGAACACAGTGAAATGCTTATCATTGATGGGTATAGCCACTTCTTTGTTAATCGCGCAGGAAAACGTGGTGGTGGCGTTGCACTGCATGTTAAGCGCGGCATACATTGCGATGTGCTGAGGAATTCACCTGCACCACGCCCCATTATGAAGTGCTCAGCGTTGACTCGGACAACATTCTTTATGTCGTGATTTACCGACAACACTACTGGCAGCGTGTCTAATTTCTTAGAATTCACTGAAAAACTTTTAGAGCAGGCTTCTTTTCACAAGTACAAAGTTCTTCTTGGTGGCGACTTCAACATTAACATGCTCGATGATGGCACTTCGACCCGTGCAACTGTTAACCTTATGGATTCAATCTGTTTTTGTAGCGCTATCACAATACCTACTCGTGTGACGGCATCTTTTCAATCGGCTCTCGATAATTTCATAGTTAACGCTGGTACACAGATTTATACAGCCGGGACCATCAGCTGATATCCGCGACTACTGCCCAATATACGTAGTATGCTCATTTTCTGTTAATGAAAATTGCTTGCCTAATACCACGTTCAGTTATAGATGTCTATCTAAGGAAAATATGCAACATTTCCGCGCACTTGCACTGCGCACAGACTGGCCCTCTTTATATAACAAAAAAGATGCTATAGTGAGGCATACGGCGAATTCCTGTCAATTTTCACTCATCCTTACAATTTATCTTTTCCACTAAAAAAAGTCAAAGTAAAGAAACGTGTTAGAAAGCCTTGGGTGCAGCCTGAACACGTTAAGATGATAAGTAAGAAAATAGGTTATTCAATAGATTTTACGCACGCGTTATCAAAGCGATCTCGTTGCATTTAAGAAGTTATGAAATCCAATAACAAAGAACTGCGAAAGCTAAAGCCCACTAATATGAAACCCTTTTTACTTCGGTACAGAGGAAAATCAGAAAAAAAAACGTGGAAAATTATCAATGATGCCATAAGACAAAAAACTTTGAAACAGCCTTTCCATGAAGTCACCCTAAACAATGAAAAGATCACCGCCGTCGCATTAACTGAACGCTTCACTAATCACTTCGTGAACATGATGACGTCATCGGATAGCGCGGTGTCTGGCACAGCTGTTAACAGATGTATGCATAGCATTTTGAGGGCCTTCAGGCACCTTCAAGTTGTACTATGCAGCTTTTCGCCTGGAGTACCCCCAACAACTTCGATGGAAAAATAAAAGCAGTTCTGATTATGATTTCTGATTCTGAGTTTCGCGGGTCACTTGACCAGATTTCACTATCCTGTGACATTGGAGGGTTGCCCCAATGAATAAGCTGGAAGCACCTACGTAGGAGGATACCACACCGCATTGTTGCTTTTCTTTTTCGAAGTGTTGTGACCTTGCTGCCACACTAATAAACGATATGACTGAGGCACTTCTGAACGACGGAGCCATCTATAGGATCTTGCGCTTGGGCCGTGCATCCAAGTGCTTCCTAAGGTCCAGGTCATACACTCGAAGAGCAAGTGTGCAGCCTCAGACGCCGTCATGACAACGTACACGAGACGCACTACGTTGTCGTGGTTTAGCTGCCAGTGGATGGACACCTCTCGTACGAACGTGGCCGGCACGCCTTCCTCTTGCGCTTGACTCTGACCTTCTTCCCAGGATTTCGCCGTTGAACTTGGGCTTGCCTTGCACGCGACGCATTACGCACCGTGCTTTCCCGATCTTCTCCACGACGACGTAGTTCATTTTGCCCTGGCTGGTCTCGGACGCCGTGTTTGCAGGAGCTGCAACGGTACGCGAACGTTCATGTGAAGCGAGTTATAACTGGACCAGTTAACGGCCCCCCAGAATGTTCAAACAAGGCGGGTGTGGATGGCAGCGTATGAAAGCTGACCGCATGCTGTGTCTGCTCGTGAAGGGGTGCGTTAGCACCACATTATGGGAAACAAGAGTGCCGGCTTTTCAAAAAAAAAATGTTGAAGTGACGGGCTAGCATATTTTTTTTAGTAGGAGTATCTTTCCCCGAGTACGGAGAAAACAGATGCGTGAATTCTGACCTAGTTTCCCGTAGGCAGGATCTTAACCTGGCCTCCTAACAGTGGAACAGCGCAGAGGAAGGCGACCTTGACAGAAAGGCAAGAACAAATGATAACGAAAGTGAATAGGCATTGAATACTTGTT